CACGCAGCTCGCAACGTTCGAGGCACTTAGAAAAAAAAAAAAAAAAAAAAGTAAAACTGGACCAAAGACACACCTTTAGTTGGTGAACTGGAGCAACTCAGCATACAGGTCCCATCCTGCATCCCCACCGAGATCGCTCCATCCTCCTTGTTTTCCTTATCCCGCGCTTCTGTCGTTTCTCACTCTTCAAGCTCCCCCTCCTCCCGTTTCTTCCATTGGTGTTGTTGGCGCATTTCGAGATCACCCAAAAAATATCTCTCCACTCTCCCCTTTCTCCCATTCCCGTTGCCTCGCCCTCCATGTCTTGGCGCCATTCCTCGCATTGTTTCCATACGTCTCAAAGAAACCTTATTTCATCCACCATATGTTAACCGCCAACCAACCTCTTTCCACCATCTGCCCTTGCTATTGCATCCATGCTCCCATTCTATCCGCTCCAACTCACGTCCTTCTGCCCTATGTGCTCCACCTAGCTCAACCCCCACCTGCTGGTTACCCCTCTAGCGCTCTCAACTCATCTCCAAGAGGGCCTGACCAGCCACAGGCTGCTCCATACAGCTGCAGCCACACGACGCGACAGCGAAGCACCCCCCCCATTCAGCCCCATGTGGTTCGTGTTGCACGGCCGGCACGTGCTGCTTCCCGTCCTCCAGGACCCATAGCCCCCAAAGATGCCTCACCAGACTCAGTTGCAGCTGGGGAGTTTTTAAAGGCCAGTGAAGCCAGTCTTCCTGGCGTTTAACCTCTCTTTCCTATGCGCTCTTCCCTTCCCGCCATGCATACTCATGCGGATGTTCTCGTTGCCCTTCCCTCTCTCAAGGCCCTCGACTCTAAGGGAGCCATTCACCTGTACCGGCAGCACAATGTGGTAGTGATCCGTGAACCCACTCGCTCTGGCCTCCTCTGTCTGTCCTCACCAGAGAGGCTGGTACCTGGCTGGCATCGAGTCAGGCCAGTGCGGATCCAGCGGCATGGCATCACTCACATTTCATATGAGAATGCTTAGAGAGACCATGCTAGTAGCCTGTTCATTACGGTATACGGTGTTCACTGTTTCAGCAATGGCTCTTCACGCTTGAGCTTCCCTATTCATTCTAGGCGGTGTGCTCATTCCGTGATCCCTCTGCTTCTCGCATTTTAATACCCTGGGGCTCTCATCTCATCTCATCTCACCCATGCTTCTTTGATATCCTATAACCGCAAGCCCCTGATGGGAAATTTGAGGTGACCCACCTTCTGCCCTTCAACTAACCTGGGGAACAGTATGACTCACGTGGTGAACCGTGAAACCAGACCCAGGAAGGAAAGAGTAGGCTAGGCAAGGATGTGGAGGTGGCCAGGGTGTTCAGCAACTGGCCAAGTAATGCCATACAATTATATGGGTATCATGATTCATGAGTAAACAACGTCTGATGATCTAATCGCTATAGTCAGCATTACCACAAGCATGAATAAGACCAGCATACCGAATTACAGAAGCACAGCTAACAAATGCATAGCATATGTACAAGCAACGAGTCACCAGACCAGAGTGAGCAGTGAGCACTGAGCAAGCAAGGTGGCAGGCTAACACTGCCAAATCCAAATTTCATCGTTCCTGAAGTCTTCGAGCAGAAGCCAGACCAGCCAGGCAAGTTGGATTCTCCTATTTTAGCAGCGCCCTCACCAACTACCAGAACGGGTAGCTACTATTGTCCTCTCTGGCCCAGACCCTGCTCCTTCCCCCACAACCAGGAGTCAACTCCAATTCCACAACCCCCTTGCCTGCATACTAGAAACTAGGATCCCACCAGCCGCACACTGGAAGTAGCACCAGAAGAACTTCTCCCCAGCTCCCCCTTGTGGATTCCGCGTTGCTTTGCTGCGCCGCATCTCTTCTCCACACACCCCACGTTCCTGCCTTCCATCTGTCGTTCTGCCGGCTGCCATGCCAAGTCGCCTGCTCTGGAAAGTGGTGCGCTACACTGCTAGGCACCATTCCTCAAAAGGGCTGCGCTATTTCCCATGCCGCTTGTACCAACCAGCCACTCCCATGCCTCTTTTACCACACCTGCCCATTCTCCACTGTGCTCGGACCAGCGCTGATGATGCAATCTGCACAATAGAATGGGCCGGGGAAAGGGGAGAGACATAAAGGGAGAGAGCAAAATGTGTGACACATTAATCGGCATCACAAACCCACACCAACACATTACATCCCAGGAAAACACATCACACCCTGCAAATAAAGAGAACCGACCAACCAATACCCACTGCATCAACACACCCTGTCCCATGTCAACCCAGCAATCCCTAACTGAATGCACCCACCTCCGTCCATCCAACCTCAAGGCATGCAGCCACCTCCATCCAGCCTCAATGCATGCACCCACCTCCATCCAGCCTCAATGCATGCACCCACCTCCATCCAGCCTCAATGCATGCCCCCACCTTTATCCATCCAACCTCACTGCATGCATCCACCTCCATCCACAACTGCATGCATCCACCTTCATCCAGCCTCACCAAGTAAGTGCTGACGGGACTCCCACATTCACCCGCTGTCTCCAAGTCTTCCTCTCCCCAGCGATCTACAGTCAATGCGTCCACTCTCAAGAGATAGAAAGTCCAAGATTTCGTCTGTATCGTCCTGAAAAGCTGGGCACGAGATAATCTCGAGGGTCTTGAGGTTGCCATGCGAATAGATGTTTTGCAAGGATTCCAGGTCGGGCCAGGAACATACAGTCAGCCGCTGCAGCTGTCTCAAATCGAACATTCCATACGGGAATGAAACCACGTAGGGAATGCCAAACAGGAAGAGGGCTGAAAGGCTTTCAAGCATACCAACGGACCAAATGAAGTCGTCAATGAAACGTGTCTCATTCACCGCATCCCAGCTAGTTGGCCATCCGAACTCAAGAGTGGTCAGGCTCGTTCTCCAGTTTGAAAGCAGGGATGGCGGAATAGTGGTGACGCTGTTGCAGTGATTGAAGGAAAACGTTCGAATGTTGGTGAGCCTGGAGAGGGAATCAGGAAGGTGAGTGAGGCTGCTGAGTTGGCACAGCTCCAAATGCTCCAGAGATGACATGTTATCCATGCCCTCTGGAAGTTCCCTCAGTGCAGAGCAGTTTCTGATTGTCAGGCTCTTGAGAGAAACAAGATCGGACATGGCGCTTGGCAAAAGTTGCACCTGACTGAATTTCGTTAGCTCGAGGACACGTAGCGAAGTAAGCAGGAAGAAAGAATCCGGGAGCCTGGAGAGAAACGAGTTGTCCTTCAGAGAACACTCTTGAAGGTTCTGAAGGCAGCCAATGCTGTCAGGAAGGTCCTCCAGCCCTACATCAAATAAGCTGAGTTTGACCAGCGAACAAAGGCCTCCAAAGGTCTCGGGCAGGTGGTGGTAGCAGTGTAACATTCGCAACTCGGTCAGCCCGGTGAGAAGACCAAAAGATTCTGGGAGCTCGCAGAAAAGGTTGCTGAACGTGAGCTTCTTCAAGCATCTCAGCTTGTTGAATTCATCAGGAAGGCCTCTGAAAGCGACTTGCAAATAGACCTCCGTCAAGGAAGACAGATCGAAGAAGGATGGTGGGAGAACTGCGGAGGACGCATCAACGTCCAGTGCGAGATGCTGTAACCCAGTGCAAGCAGTAAAGACTGCATCCAGACCATCCCAAATCAAAGCGACTTTCTGGTGGTTTATGAGGTCAAGGTGAGTCAACCTGGGACATGCAGATCCGAGGCCAAAAAGAAACTCGCACTTGTTATCAAAACATATATCTATCGTTAGAGACGTCAATTCCGTGAACTTTGACAAGCATGTCAGAAGGCCAGTGTCTGCTTGAATATCGTGATCTTCACTGGAGCGCATGGAGATGGAGGTCTGCGAAAGATATGCGAGGCGACGCCATCGCTTGCAGACCAAGGCGTGGTTCAAGCTGCTAGGCGTCTGCTGGCTTAGCTGACGGAAAATGATGCAGAGATTATCATCCGACAAATGATCGAACAACGACGACCACGCGGAACAACTAAGGCACGGCGATGCTAGGGTTAGGGAAGACGACATGGCTCACACGTACGAAGACAGTAGTTACGTGAGGGTTGGAAGGAAAACGAGATTTGAAGACTTACTGCTTGCTGGTTGGGTTATGTTCCACAACGAATCTCACGACTGAAGAGTCTCTCGGCTGACAGACGGAAGATTGTAATGCTGTAACTGCAGCTCCTCGCAAGGTTGAGTATGGGAAAACCATTTCGCGCTCATCAGCAAAACGGCATTTCCGAGGTTGCGACTGGTTACCAGCTCGTGCTCTTCGATCGCAAGAAGGTGTGTTGAGTTTCAGCGCGAGACAAGTGCGCGAAGGCCCAGCCGTTCGATACTCCGATCACTCAACCCGTGTCGTCGGATGGTCACAAAAAAAACGAGGTAGAGATTGACGTTCGCGATTTACTTGCGACAAATTCCACTCGTCCATCCAATCCCTTCGCTCCTCCTAACCTCACCTCCACTCCCTCCCATCCTCGTCTGTTTCTTTCTGTTCTCTCCCATCCCTCCACAGTTACCGCTTCTTACTGATGCTTCATGCGCCGTGCGTGCTTGCTTGTCATTCGTCGGCAGCTCGACGCGCAGACATTCCCTTTCGTAGGCACATCGCAGAAATGATTCCGGCCCAAAAATGCTCTCCGAAGGGTTTTCTGCTGGAAATCTTCCGGAAAGCGTAAACATGTATTCAGAATGCTGCGACCAGGAAATCGAGACCTACCCCCAACACGCACACCAGGTGGTCGCGCTTCGGGAAAGGTTTCGAAAAAAGTACCTTGGATGTGGTTTATACGAGAAATCCTCGACACGCTCCTGTTTCAGCTCCAGGGAAAAGGATTACGAGCCCCTTCCATCCCATCCATCGTGCTGTTTCAGGCAAATAAGGGAACCGGTCATTCTGAGGCGCCTGAAAAGCGAAGCAGGCCTCGTGGCCCGTTCGCCCAGAAACACCTGGAATGCTATCCTCTTTGGGGCCCTCAAAATGTCTAACACCGCGCAGAGGGGAAGCGGTCCTTCGCTTTCCGTGGACCCAGCGACACCTGGACTTTCCTTGCAGGTTCATGTGCTTAATCTTGACATGTAATTGAGCCATGGCGTGGCGCATCAAGCTGTGACGAAAGCCGTGACGCCGCATCTTCCATTGGTCTGCTTTTCTTGTTTCGCGTGAGTTCTAGTTTTAAATGCTTCAAACATTTCCCCATTCCGATCTGCTCCTTGCCTCATTATCGTCTGCCTTTTTCCCTAATCCTTTCAGTTCATTTCAGTTCATCATCCTCTCCCCATTACCCTCTCCCTCATCCCATTCCCCCACTCTCTGCCCTTTTTTTCTGCCTCTTTCCCTTTCCCCTCTGCGGTCCCTATCTCCCGCAATCCTTTTCGCATTTCCCATTCCCTTCTTTAACATTTCCCCGTTCCCTCACTCCCCTCCCCCAACCCCCTCCATTCCCCCCATTTCCCGGTTCACATCACCCATTTCCTCATTTCTCCTTCCCATATCACATTCTCTTTTGCCCATTTTCCCATCTCCCACTTCCCCAGAGACAAAGCAGTGGAGGTAGGCGAGTGCTGTATGGTCGAAGGAAGGCGAACATCGGCTGAAATTAGTGGAGGTATGTCATCCCATGTGCCGTGTCATCATCCCATGTGCCGTGTCATCATCCCATGTGCCATATCATCAACCCTTGTGTCGTGTAATTGTCCCCCATGTGCTGTGTCATTGGAAAATGTGATGTCTCGTGATCCCATGTAACCTGTTACCATCCCATGTATCGTGTCACCTCGTCATTGTCGTCAACATAGTAATCACCATGAGCCACCATGAATCGTTGTCTCACTCATCCACCTTTCGCACCCTCCCCACTATTCAGCACCGTCAATGACATCAACCACATGGGGGATTTTTCAGCCAATCACATTCCAGAAGTTAATGCCACCTATCAGGCGGCCGATTGGCTCACCAACGGGAGAGGGCAAGACTCGCCGTCAGCCACACCTTTGACGAGCTCGCAGTAAGGCGTCTGACCATTTTGCCACATGGTTACCATAGAGTTTGCCTCTGATTATTCATAACTGTCATATACAGGTAATTCAGGGGTTTGGGGCTGAGCACAGTGGCAGGGAATATGGGAAAGCACGCAGGACAGAGCAGAGCAGTGTATAGCAGACGAAGTTGTATGCATGGCGTTGTGGTCATATTGAATGCAGTCATTTAAGACATGCCTTACTGCACTCATCGTACTCCCTGCGGACGCCTTCTCGCTTCTTTAGCTTTCAACATGTTATCTTGAGCAAGTTTCAGCCCATCTCTCATTTCCTCTCTCAATCCTCACACACCACATCAGCTCAGCATTCCTTCTCATGTTCCTTTCCCCTTACGACCCACTGCAGTGACCAACTGTAGGTGGACACAGCAGCACCAGACTCCAGCGTGAGATATACGATGGACCAGCAGCCTCGTCCGAGGCACGTCGGTATATGCATTCTTCTTTTCCCGCTGCCTTGCTGTCACACGGCCTCTGCATCCGCCTTTCCTCTCAGGCCCCCTTCCCTTGACCGCCCACTGCAGTGACAAACTGCATGTGGATACAGCATCCCAGCACAAGGGGACAGCATGCGATGCGTGATGGACCAGCAGCCTCAATTGAGGCACATAATAAGATGCCTTCCTCTTTTCATCCTGCCTTGCTGTCACACACCCACCGCACGGTGCAGCGTTTCACCCTTTCACCCTCATGCCACTTCCTGATATTATTTGATATGACGACGAGCTTGGGTTTGCAGCCTGTGTGGCCTGGCAGGGTGTGGGCTGCTGGTGAGGACAGTTAGCACGGATGCAGCACCATGGCAGCATGTGCAGCAGGCAGTGTAGCCACACAGCTTACAGCTCCACTCATGACATGGTATCCTGGGCAGCTGTACCATAACATCTTACGTATTCGAACATTGTGGAGGGGAAAGCGTTCGAGCATGCTCGTAACCTGATTAGCAATCATCGTGACTACACTAGGAACTGATTCGAGCTCGGAGAGTAGGCAGGTAATGAAGTCATGAAAAAGTCGGAGGTGGCCAGAGAGAATTGCTTAGCAGGCACTTAAAGCGACGGTGCACATTTGCCACCCAAAACCCAGAACCCTGGCGAACTGTTACTGCGGATGGAAAGTGTCCGCACGAAATCCTGGTTTTCGCCAGCCAGCACTTTCGCGCTGGCAAGCCTGGTTCAAAAAAAAAACTTATGAACCCAACACTGCCAAAAGTTGCCCATCGCTTTAACCGGCAGAGTAAATTTGTTTAATGGTGTATGATTTAACTAGCTAACCTAAATCATCTGTACTAGAGGCAAGAATAGTAAATGAACAGATGCATACCGTATGTACTACCATATGTACAAGTAAAGCGGTCAGACAGAGAGGAAAACAAGTTGGAATGCTCACACCAGAACGGGCAGGGAAGCTGGCTCCTCCCAATCTAGCCAAGCATAGTCTCTCCTCCATCTGATCACACACAAATTAGAAATCAACTCCAGCTACACTCTCCTCGCCTGCACACTGGAAAGGTGGGTCCAGCCACTCTCTAGAGACGGACCGCCTCCCTGATCAACCACTGCTGTGCCTTCTTCTCCATGCACCTATACTTCCAGCCTTCTACCCGCCTGCTCCCATGCAAAGTGATGCACCGCACTGTTCCACCCAATCGCCATTCCACAGAAAAGCTTCACGCATCACATCAGCCATTCCCATGCCTCTTCCGCACCTGCCACATGCCTCTTGTACCAGATCTGCCATTCCACACGATGCTCGGACCAGCAATGATGATGAAATCTGCAAGATTCAACAAGCTGGGTAACGGGGAGAGATGAAAAGAGAGAGAGCAAGATGTGTGACACACCAAAGTATCACACATGGCAGCAATACATCACACATGGCAGCAACGCATCACAGATGGCTCACAGATGGCAGCAACGCATCGCACATGGCAGCAACGCATCGCACATGGCAGCAACGCATCGCACATGGCAGCAACGCATCGCACATGGCAGCAACGCATCGCACATGGCAGCAACGCATCGCACATGGCAGCAACGCATCGCACATGGCAGCAACGCATCGCACATGGCAGCAATGCGTCACACTCCACATCAGCGCATCACACCCTGCAAAAAAAAAATGAGGAACCAGCCAACACGCACTGCATCAACACACCCTGCCCCACGCCATCAAAGCATTTTCCATTGCATGCAACCCCATCCAGCCTCACCAGGTCTCCGAGAATGGGCTGACAGCCCTCCTGCTCACTCGCCCGGTCCAATCCTTCCTCTCCTCAGCGATCTCCCGTCGATACATCCACTCTCCAGACACACAATATTGGCAATCTCGCCTGTCTCATCCTCACATTCAGGGCACGCCAGAATTCTGAGGCTCGTGAGTTGGTAGACCAGCGAACTGGTTTCAGGCAACGATCGCAGTTTGGGGCAGGAACATAGAGTCAGCTGCTGCAGGTGTTCAAGTTTGTACACCTCAACGGGGAGTGTAGTCACACGGGGAAGGCCAGACAGGAGCAGCGTTGAAAGGTTCTCAAGCATGCAGACGGACCCCACGAAATATTCAACGAAGCATGTATCATCTGCCACAGACCCAGCCGGGCAGCTGGTTGGCCATCCGAACTCAAGAGAGGTCAGGCTCATTGTCCAGTTTAGAAGCAGGGACGGCGGCACTCTAGTGACGCTGTTGCAGTGATTGAAGGAAAACGTTCGAACGTTGGAGAGGCTGGAGAGGGAATTTGGCAGGCGAGTGAGGCTGCTGAGTTGGCACAGCTCCAAATGCTCCAGAGAAGGGAGGCGATCCAGGCTCTCTGGAAGTTTCCTCAGTGCAGGGCAACTTCTAATCACCAAGAACCGGAGCTTAGCAAGGTTGTGTAGAGGCAGCGAATTCAGACTCCTGCAACTCCTGATGGTGAGGCTCTCGAGCAAAACGAAATTAGACATGAGGAAACGTTGCATCTCATCAAACTTGGTTAGCTCGAGAACACGTAGCGAAGTAAGCGAGAAGAAGGAATCCGGGAGCCTGACAAGTGACAAGTTGCCAATCAAGGAGCACTCTTGAAGGTTTTGAAGGCGGCCAATGCTGTCAGGAAGATCCTCTAGCTGGTCTGCATAAGATATGATGAGCTTGACCAATGAACGAAGCCCTCCAAAGGTCTTAGGCAGGTGGCGGAAGTTTTTGCAGCGCGAAAGTTGCAGCTCGGTCAGTCCAGTTAGAAGGCCAAACGATTGTGGGAGCACGGGGAACTGAAGCTCGTCAAACGTCAATTTTTTCAAGCATGTCAGCTTGCCGAATTTTTCTGGAAGGCTCGTGAAGTCGACTTGCAAAAAAACCTCCGTTAGGGAAGACAAACCGAAGAAGGATGGTGGGAGATCATGGTCACAGGTACCAACTGCCAGCGAAAGATATTGTAATCCAGTGAAAGCAGTGAATACTGCATCCATACCATTTCGAAATAAAGCAGCGTCATGAGGGTTTCTGAGGTCAAGACGAGTCAAGTTGGGACATGCCGATCCGAGGCCGAGGAGAAACTCGCACTCGTCATCGATCCAGCAACGGATTATCGTAAGAGACGTCAATTTCGTAAACTTTGACAAGGATTTCAGAAGGTCAGAGTCTGCTTGAATCATGTCGTGACCGTCTAGGACTTCATCAATTCTACTAGGACGCATGTAGATGGACGTCTGGGAAAGATAGGTGAGGCGAAGCCATCGCTTACACACCAGGGCGTGGTTCAAACTGCTAGGCGTCTGCTGGCTCAACAGACGGAATATGATGCAGAGGATGTCATCCGATAGATGATCGAACAACGAGGACAACGCGGAACTACCAAGGCAAGGCGATGCTAGGCTTGACGGCGATTGGTCTCTTTCAAAGGAAGACATGGCTCGCACTGCGGGGAAGCACTCGCGAGCAAGAGCAGAACTTCAGGAGCTGAGAAAGGCGGTATGGCGGAGTGGTGAGGGCTGGAAGGACGAACTCTGACTACTTGCTGGTTGGCTTATGTTCTTAAACGAGCCTCTCGTGTGAAGAGTTTCGGGCTCACAGACGAGATGCTCAAGAAACAGGAGGCCCCTGAAACTCGTAAACATTTTTCCGCTCAACTTCGGAAGCAGGAGGTCCGCTGAATCCTGGAAACAAGAGGGTTCCGAGTCTAATGCCTGAACTGGTCTGAGAAACGTTGCCTCTTTCGTTCCAGGACAGAATAATTCGCCACGGGAACGGAAAAAAAACTGAAATCGATGCGGTCGGGATGCATCCACCCTGGACTTAGCCCGGGATGACGATGCTTGCATGGCAACTAGGTGAGGAAATCGAATGTGGTCCACGGTTTCAGGTGGAAGAAACACGTGACGCGTGCATGCTTTTCCGCGTCAGCAGCGACGTAGATTTGACCCATCACCAGTCTGGCTACACTGCGAACCCTAGATTCTAGACCTAAGCTCCAACCCGCTGCAGCAACCATTCTAAGCTTGCGTAGCCTGGATTCTAGGGCTCGCTCACGAATGGTGCAATGGTGGTTTATGGCGAGTCGTGATCAACTTTGTCACTGGTGCCTAGTAGCTTGAAGATAGCAGATCTTGGATCTCTGGCTTGGTCCTGCTATGGTTTTGCTGCCATGATTTCGCAACCGAGGTTTCACTGCCATCGTTTCAACTGCTGTGGTTTCGCTGTGCTGTTGTCGCAGATGTTCGTCGCAGTTCATTGGGCGTTCCAACAATTCCAATCCACTTGTGTTACCGTGTCGTTCGATGAGCTGTTTATCGACGACATGCCGAACGCTTTACGACGAAACAAATCCGCCCCGAGTTCTTTCGTGTTCAAACCAGGACTCGGTAACACAACTATTCGCCAAGTCTTCATTTGGCTCCCTCGCCATGCAGAGTCCTCAGTGTGTCGACCCCTGCGAAAGTAACCCTTCATGTGTGGTTGTGACCATGCACGAACAAAGCTGACTGCGCACAGAAGTTACGTGCCCGACAGGAGACCCTTCATTGGCAGAATTTCTCTCACAGGCTCTTAGTCTGCGACTTTTCCGCTCCTTAGTACCTTCAGCTGCGACTTTCGAAGCTCACACCGAGTACCTCGTGGCGCCAGGCGCGCCAGTTCCGATCGACGTTATCATAACGCGAATTGTTACCACCAATCAAATACAGCATTCCACTTCCGCTTCAACTCGCTGCTACGCGTCATAGAGACTTACTGAAGCAAGGTCTGCTTCGTGCACCATAACGGTGGATTTTCTAATCAGCTCAGAATACACAGTGATGAAGAAGACGAACCATCATTCGCCGCTCAAACACCGTCTGAGGCCGGGAGAATTTCCCTCTTCCCTGCTGTCGAGCGCCGAGTTTGCGACCAAAGATTCTTCTGGTCTCAGCGAGCATTTCTTCCGTCTTCCCCTCTCCCTCGCAAAGGCGCCTCCACTAGGCTCTCTGCTCAGCGCCTTAGCATCCATGTTAGTATTCCGAATCAGCTATCGGCATCCTTGTACCTCAAAGGCGACGGTTGTCTCGTCCCTCCGAGGGTTGGTCGCCTGTCTTCGCTCCTTCCTCTCAGATTCATTCGACGGTGTTTGACGCGCCTCATATATCGTCTCATGAGTTGGTTGTCGTCAGTCTCGTCCCTCATCCTCTCTCCGCTCCTCTTCCCCTCCCACTTCTCCTCTTCCCCTCCCTCTTCTCCTCTTCCCGCCCTCGCTCCCTTCTCTTCTCTCCTCGACCCCTCCCTCCTCTCCTCTTCCCCACCCATCCGCCATCCAGACGACGCTTTGGCCATCCTCGCCGCTTCGAAATGCCCGTCCATTCGTGTGCTCGGTATCGCCACGTCATTCAGCCACTATGTGACGTGTGAAGCTGCCACACGCAACGCGCGAGGCCTGGTGGGTTGACTTGACAGTTCCTCCACCTCTATAAGGATCCTCGATACCTCGTTAAAAGCTTCTAGTGTGCGTGTGCGGTTTAAGTATTATGTCTCTTATCATCAATGCTGTTTGCACTCTGGTTTCACCTGAAGCTTCTCAAATGCTCGCATCGTCCTCAACTCGTTGCCCTTGTTTCGTTCCCTTCCTGCATCTTTCCACAACACCGCCCCCTATTTCCCCACGTGTCCCCCTCTCTTCTCCCCCCTCTTTCCCGCACCTCTTTCCACCCCCCGCCATCCCGCTTCTCCCCCTCCCCCTTTCGCACTCTCTCCCAGTCCAGTGTAGCCGCAGGCCTCCCAGACACGTAGATTGTTCAGGGCGCCACAACACCACTCTCAACCGCACCAAATCCAGCAGTATGCCACTTCTCTGTTGCCGCTTCTCTTTTTTGCCTTCCCTTTTCCTCCCCCCCACCTCCGAACCTTCCCTCTCCTTTTCCTCAGCCTTCTGCCATCCTCCCTCTACCTGCAAAACGGTCGCTGCCTTTCAACGCATTCCCCGTGTGCTTTCTCCTTCCCCCCTACTGTCCTCTCATGTTTCTTGCTCTCCGATCCAAACCTTCATACAAAAACTGACCACCAACAACACTGCCGCCGCCGCAGCTGCCGCCCACACAACCATCAGCAGCAGGCAGGAGTGCAGGATGGGGCAGAGAAAGGGGAGGAGCGGAGGGCGTGGGAGTGGATGTGTGAGGAGGAGGCGAGGAGGCCCGGGCAGATCAGCATGGTGCAGCTGGGAGGGCCCCATGTCCAACCTCGGCCAGGCGATTGCTTTGCATGACATCTTGAGTCTTTGCCCCTTGTTTCCATGCACCCCTTATTCTCCCTCACCTCTCTCCCCTCCCTCCTCTGCTCCCCTCCTCCCCTTCCTTTCCTCCCTCCCCTCCCTCCCCTCCCTCCCTTCACCTCACTCCCTCCCCTCCCTCCCCTCCCTCCCCTCCCCCCACTCCCTCCCCTCTCTCCCCTCCCCCCCCTCCCTCCCCTCCCTCCTGACATTGTTCTGGCCCTCTCCCACTGTCTCTCTCTAGTGTCCGAGGTTGCTGCTTCGGAATGGCGCCAGTGGGTGGTTGATGACGGTTGGCAGTGGGAATCCGAAATTGGGAACATGAGCACGAGGAAAGCAGCATTTCAAGAACGAGAGCAGTGAGATCTTAAGAAGATGACAATACAAATCAAACTCCAAGCAACTGCAAGCTTGTCAGGAGAAACAAGCATAGATGCCGCAGTTTTATGCGTGTCCCATGACCCTTCCCCCTCCTCCCCCGCTTCGCCCCCTTCCCCACCCTTTCCCTCACTTCCTTCTCTCCGTATTTCCCTCCAGCCGAATTTCCTTCTCTGAAACCAGGAATGCGCGAGGACAAGGCGAGTTTCATGAAGGCAGATGGCACACGGTGCCTCATAAAGCGGAGGCAGTGGATGGTACAGCTGCTAGAAGGATATTGCACCTGCTGCTCGCATGATCACATGCTCACATGCTCGCACCTCCCATGCTCGCACCTCCCATGCTCGCACCTCCCATGCTCGCACCTTCCAGTGTTGGTGAGGTTGGGGGAGGTGAGGGGTAGGTGACGCAAGGAGGTAAGGGGTGGGTGAAGAGGTGGTTACATGACTGAAGAAGGGAGAAGAGTAATGTGCTTTTTGAGTGGAGCCGAGGTTGCTTGTTCCATGTCACGATCCCACGCCTCCAGTCATCATCCTATGTTCCATGGCATCAATGCATACGCTATATTATCATCCTAGGCGCCTGCCATCGTCCTTGCTTACCAGCCACCCTCAGCATCAGCATTCTTGGACCAGGGCAGTGCTTCAGCATTTTCGGACCAAGTCCTCACTTGGACCCACCAAATGCTTCCCAACTACCCTCAGCATCAGCATTCTTGGACCAGAGCAGAAATCACGACATTCTTCACCGCATGAAATCCACCACTGCCTCATCCCTCTCATCTGCTCTGTGTAGTCGTACGCTCAACATCTCATCCTTTTCTCCTTCTGCTCCCAGCTTTATTCCCCAACCCTCTTACTGTTTATCCATACCTCCACGATATCCATCCGTTTCTTGCTACCCTCGCAACACCATGATCAGAATTGGTCAGAATGACTCCTTGTCGCATACATCCAGCCACATGCCTCCAGTCCGTTTCCTCTCCCTTCCGGCTTCTCCCCATGCTCCCCATCCTTACACTTCAGCACCATGATCACCAATGAGTCTTGCGTCGTATTCCATGTGCCGCGTCATCATCCCCTGTGACATGTCATCATCCCATGTGCCATGTCATCATCCCATGTGCCATGTCATCATCCCATATGCCATGTCATCATCCCATGTGACATGTCATCATCCCATATGCCATGTCTTCAGTGTCATCTCACCTTGCTCAATCCCCACCCACCACATCACTTTCCCTCTCACACCCCTTTCCCTTCGTCACTCCCTTGCCCTCTCTGCCCACTGCCCCAATAAACCAGCTGCTGCAGGCCCACGGGAGAAGAAGCACTGCATCAGCTGAAGGCACGGCATGTCGTGACACAGGAGCGGTGGCACACGGAGAAGGCACGGCATGGATGATGCCCAGCAGCCTGCGTGGCCTGGTAGTGTGTCAGCTGCTTATGAAAACAGCCGGCACAGACACGGCTGCATGGCAGCTGGTGCAGCAGGCAGTGCAGCCTCAGGGATTCCAACTCCACTCCTGCAAGATGGGCGCCTGGTGGACAGCCAGAGGTCTCCCTCTCATTAAGTTGCAGATTTAGAGACAGGAATGCGAACGAGCATGAATGGCATACGTTGCAATCTTGCAAGGTGCAAGTGCTAGCCTGAGTCCTCAGCAGTAGTGCTCATCAGTGAAAGTGCTGCCAAACATGGAAGGATCGCCTAACTTGTGAGCGGGTGCAGTATAATGTTATTACATTTTGATAATAATACGGTACCGTACTAGTATACATAATGTGGTGAAACACAGCCCAGGAATGATGGCAGGCAGGGATGTTAATGTGGTCAGGGTATGTTCAGCAACTGGCCAAATGATGGCATACCGGAACAAACCACATGATTTTTAGGGCTATAATCAGCATGACTACAAGAAGTATTACTGAAACACGGTTAACAAATGCACATGTACAAGCGATCAGTCACCAGACCTGGTTGAGAAAGCAAGGTGGCTGCCTGGCAGTTTCCATTGTTTCGGAAGCCTCTGCGTAGTAGCCAGACCGGCCAGGCCAGGCAGGTTAAATTCTCCCATTAACCAGCATCGCCCTAGCCAACTAGAATCGGTAGCTACCCTTGTCCACTCCGGTTCACACGACCAGGAATCAAATCCCATTCCACACCCCCCTCGCCTGCACACTAGATTCAAGGGCCACCAGCCGCACACTGGAAGCAGCACCAGAAGCGGCCTCTCCAACCCTCTCCAGCGTGCGATTTCCAACTCATGGATTCCACGTTGCTGCGTCGTTTCTCTCCTCCCTATTTATAAGCAATGCACCACTAGGACAAAAACATATCAGAAAACTCTATATCTGCTCCTCTCTCCCTCCCAGAAAACTCAATCTATTTTCTTCGACCCATCAGCGGCTGATGTTGAAACCTGCAAGATAGAATGGGCCCAGTAAAGGGGAGAGACATTAAGGGGGAGAGCAAGATGTGTGACACATCACCCGCATCACAAACCAGCACCAACACATCACACCCCGCACCAACACATCACACCTCACACCAACACATCGCAACACACACCAACACACCATACCCTGCAAAGAACGAGAAACCAACCAATACTCACTGGATCAACACACCCTGTCCCATGGCACCCCAGCCATCCTCACTGCATGCACCCACCTCCATCCATCCAACCTCACTGCATGGACACACCTCCATCCAGCCTCACCAAGTAAGTGCTGATCGACCTCCCACGTTCAGCCGGCGCCCCGAATCCCTCCTCTCCCCAGCGATCTACCGTCGATGCGTGCACTCTCAAGAGTGGAAATCTGGAAGAAAATCTCGTCTGTCTCGTCCTGAAAATTTGGGCATGCAATAATCTCGAGGGTTCTGAGGTTACCATTCGAGTAGATTCTGTACAAGGACAGCAGGTCGGGGCAGGAACACATAGTCAGCCGCTGCAGCCGTTGCAAATCGTGCCCTTCATTCGGGAAAAACGCCAGGCGGGGAATGCCATACAGGAGGAGCGCTGAAAGGTTCTCAAGCTCACAAACAGACGAAATGAAGTCGGTAAGGAAACATGTCTCATTCCCCACATCCCCAGTCGGGCAGCTGGTTGGCCATCCGAACTCAAGAGAGGTCAGGCTCGTCCTCCAGTTTCGAAGCAAGGATGACGGAATACTGGTGACGCTGTTGCAGTGATTGAAGGAGAAAGTTCGAATGTTGGAGAGGCTAGAGAGGGAATCCGGAAGTTGAGTGAGGCTGCTGAGTTGACGCAGCTCCAAATGCTCCAGAGATGACATGCGATCCATGCGCTCTGGAAGTTCCCTCAATGCAGAGCAATTCCTGATGGTCAGGCTCTTGAGAGAAACAAGGTCGGACATGGCGCTTGGGAAACGTTGCACCTCACTGAATTTCGTTAGCTCGAGAACACGTAGCGAAGTAAGCAGGAAAAAGGAATCCGGGAGCTCGGAGAGAGACGAGCTGCCAATCAAGAGGCACTCTTGCAGGTTCTGAAGGCAGCCAATGCTGTCAGGAAGGTCCTTCAGATGGACTATATTGGATAAGGTAAGTTTCACCAGCGAACGAAGGCTACCAAAGGACTCGGGCAGGTGGTATACGAGGTTGCAGTGTGACATTTGCAGCTCGGTCAGCCTGGTGAGAAGACCAAAAGATTCTGGGAGATCGCAGAAAAGGTAGGTCGACGTGAGCTTCTTCAAGCATCTCAGCTTGCTGAATTCATCAGGAAGGCTCAGGAAATCGACTTGCAAATTGACCTCCGTCAGGGAAGACAGATCGAAGAAGGA